CTGCTGCCGCCGCCGCCAGCCAGGGCATAATACGGTAAATAAATACGAGCATGGGGATCCACGTGTGAACGAAGCCCCACTCCCCCTCCCCTTTTGCTTTCGCTCTCGAGCCGGCGCTTTTTTTTTCTTGAAATTTCCCTCTTAAAATGAAGGTGCGTGTTATACGCCTGTGCGCGTTATACGCCGATAAATACGGTAAGTATAAATGTACAGTTACACTAAAATTGTTATTTACATTGTTTTTAGTTTTCTGGAGTCTAATCATATAGTTAGCAATACAGTCACAGGGAAAATGTTAGAAACATAGGCACTTTTAATCATCAATGCTTCAAAATATAAATCAACCGAACGAAAATCTAGTAAGTCCTAAAGAAAAACCATTAGTATAGTTGTTGACATTTTAATATCTCCTGGACTATACAATGCACAACTCACTCTGGAATCAGGCAACATAAAACTCAGTATCAAAACAGATGAAGCAAACCTGCTAATGAGACTGTGCCATAGTTAATACTAAAGAAATCCACACAGCTACAAACATTTTATATAACAGGATATGAGGAGTCATTGGTTGTCTCTGAGCTTAGTTGTTTTCTGGCAGACATTTCATTACCCAAACCCTAGGTAACATCATCAGTGCTACACTATCATCCTCAGAGACTAGTATTGATGATGTTACAGTAGTGGCCAAAATTGTGGACACCTTTTGGGAAAAGTGTACAGTAGAAATGCCACCTTTGGTTATGTTTCCACCAATTTTTCTTCTAATTTCTTTATAACTGTAGCCTTGTTCACTTAATAATACTATTTTACATCGCTTTCTGGGCAACCAGTTAACTCTTTGCAACATTACTTTAATTATATTACGTTTTACAAGCTCATTAAATGAAAGAACACAAAAAACCACAACCAACTTGATAGTGATCACATAACACACTGACAAATGTCCTCTCAGCTTCAATACATGACATCAATAACCGAATCCTACTGTGATCTGATTGGCTCATTGCCAAAACAAGATGACACCTGATTGGCTCTCTACACACTCATACTCATTGGCTATAATCAGATGAAGGAAAGCTACCTGATATCAACCTAAGCAAGTTGTGCTTCCTTTTTCTGGTTATTTGGCTATTGTTGTTCGTCCATCAATTTTGATGAAGACCTTGACATCTTGTGGATTGTGGGCCATCAACGGTGTGTCCGTAGATGGCTGATTAGACCGATGTTAGCACGGTCACATCCTGAACAGAGAAATGTAGACACTTGCTTCAGCATTTGCAGCTCTGGCTTTACGGAGTGCTCGCTTCTCTTGTGCCAAGATTGTCCTCCTGTGTTCATATGTCTGGCACCCCTGGTAAACCAGGGTACGCCATGTCGGTCGATCATGCGCCAAAAATTCCCAAGAGATGGTGTCAATATCCAGGGACTTGAGAGATGCTTTCAGCGTGTCTTTGTATCGCTGCTTTTGTCCCCGTGCGATCGCTTTCCTTGAGACAGCTCACCATAGAAGAGCTGTTTAGGGATGCGATGGTCTGGCATCCTTACAATGTGGCCTGCCCAGCGCATCTGGGCTTTCATCAACAGAGTGTAAACTGATGATAGGCCTGCTCTGGAGAGGACCTCTGTATCTGGTATCTTATCCTTCCACCGGATCCTCAGAATTCTACGAAGGCAAGTCATGTGGAAGTAATTCAGTCGCCTAACGTGCCTCCTGTACACTGTCCAGGTCTCACTAGCATACATCAGGGTAGTTAGCACTGCTGCATTACATTCTTGATTAAATTATCTTTCCATTGATATATAATTTTATGGTACTACTCCCAAAAAAAGTGGTATTATTAGCCATCAAACCTCAAAAATACACTTTTCCCAAAAGGCTTCCACAATTTTGGCCACTACTGTACCTAGTTTGGGTAATTAAACATCTGCAAGAAAACAGCCAAGCTCAGAGAGCACCAAGGACCCCTCATTTCGACCCTGAGCTACAAATATTCTCCTTTATTGATAACAGAATATTTTATAACACTTTTCTATCCTACATGCTGACATGAGGAGTAGAAAAGATGGAAACAGACCAGATTGCAGGTATTTTTGTTCTAAAATAACGGGTCCTTTTATTCAGTTATAAATATCAAAAATAAACTTTTACAACTCTTAAAACCTATCAAGCTTTTCACCTTTTCCTTTCTGAAGCATCAAGGGTATTTTAAATAGGTACTGTTTCATTGTCAACATCAATACTTACATTTCATTCCATCCAGCAACTGCGAAAGGGATGTTTTATTCTCTTTGAGCATCAGGGTTCCTGATAAGTAACTATTAAAAAATTCAGAAAATAAACAACAGCTAAAAAGAATTAAATTATAGATCATAAAAAGATTGACATTTTACAACATTTCATGATAGACAATGCAAGATAGTTTTAACAGTATTTAAAATACTTTTTTTTTTAAAAAGGCAACTTGTGTTAGAATTAATTTATTGTATTCCCACATCCTAAGGTACTCAAGGTTTTTTCCCCTTTGTTTAAAACATTTATGTAGCTGCCTTATACCAAACTCTGGATGGCTCTCAATCAAAAGTCCATATTAAAAATATTAAAACCAAATGCATTAAAAACAAAACCCTGGTGCCGAGTCAAGTTTCAGATATTTACTTCTTATCCCAGCACTTGGGGGAAAAGCCTGGTCTTTGGTGCTTCACAGGTTAGGTAGAGGCCTGTCACAGAAAAGGCACTCTTCCTAGCTCACCTAAGGTGTCAGTGTTTAAGGGAAGGGACTAGGAGCATACCCACCCTATGTAACCTGGTAGGATAGACTGATGTTCTTAGGGAAAGGCAGTCCTGCAGATAACTTGGGCCTCTGCCATATAGGGCTTTAAAGGTGATAACCATCACCTTGAATTGCACCCAGGAAGAAACTGGAAGCCAGTGAAGCTCTCACAATAGAGGTGTTACATGGGTAAAGCTACGAGTACCCATCCTGAGCACACTGTCACATTCTGGAGCAGTTGAAGCTTCTGGGTGGTCTTCAAGAGCAGCCCCACATAGCACATTGTAGTAATCCAAATGGGAGATATGATCTTCCATAAGCAGAATAATATATATATACACGTATATATAAATATTAAATATTCAGAAACTGCCTTACCTTTCCATATTAAATCCTGACCTGGATGCACTTGATACCATAGCGGTAAGAGCTATCTGAGAAGGTGTAAATAGAAGGCAGGCATCTGTCAAAGATACCCGATTAAGAAAATCATCTGCTGTCTTCCTCAATGTCTCAGGATTTTCAAGCAATTGATAACGGGTCTAGAAAATAAGTAATAGGCAATAATACTTTGGAATAATTTGTTGCTACAATTTCCTCCAAGCTCATATCCAAGACGTACTTTCAAATGAAAGGCAGATACTAAAAGGATTTCCATTCTCAAAGCAATAAAATAAAAATAAAATTATTTATTTTGTGGTCTTTTTCACCCACTTCGGAATCATTATATATAAAACCAAGGTTTTCATGAACTGATTTGATAGTTGACAAAATGTGAAGCTTACAAAATCAAACCAAAATGTCTTCTACAGTACCTTGTTCTTCAAAATAAAAAAGCTCATAGATTTTTAAGCTGATTATGATAGCCAACTTTACCAATATTTATTTTTAATATTTAAGAATAGCAAAAAAAACAAATTTTGTACCTCATTACTCATAACTTTGATGTTCATAAGAAATATAATTATATAGGTAATATCCTTATTTACAGAGAAATTAAGAATCCTCTCAAACATACACGAACATCAACACAAACAATTCAACATTTTCAACCATCATTTTGGCACTCAGTTCTAAAAGCAATATTTTGTTACCATTTTCAAAAACTGAAGAAAGTGTTTTGAAAGATGTGCAAGGAAAATCTAAGGTATTAAAGATGGTGTCACAGAATTAATATTGATATCTATGTTTCATAGTATGGCCATTCATTCACTGTAAAAGTTTAACTCTGTATTATTCATATAACATTTAATATAGTTATTGCAGTCAATGTTTAACTTGATAAGCAAAAAAAAAAAGGTCTGGTACCTTCAAATCAATCAATAGCCCTTCAAATGGTCTGTAAGGGTTATGTACTATAAGGTGGAAATTCAGCTGCTGAATAAGTAGTAATTCATATTCCAAGATCTGTTCCAATGTCTTCTCCTGTCCTGCTGGGCTCTCACGAAGGTTACCAACAAATTGTGCACTAGATACATTAAATTCATCTACTTTACAAGCCAAGAATGCACACGTTAACCTTAAAAACAAAACACATTTGATTGTAACAAAAGTATATGAACTTGAGACAATATAAATAATTTCAAGACCAAAAACATTTTCCTGAGCAATAGGCAGTTTTCACCTTGAAATATGAATATGAGCTCTACATATTTCTTATCTCTTATTAAAATTTCAAAAATATAAAAACATTATCAATTCTAATTGATAATTAAAGCATAAATAGTAAGTTACTCACATAATTATCCGGGGATGATATTCCATTACTGAGTTATTGAGGTAAAAACGTTTGAAATACATGCATGCTGTACCCTAAAAGCACAAAAAAGTTAGAAAGTTCATTCAAATTACTCGTTATAAACATAAAAATAAATACAAGACACAATTTAAAATGCCAATGGCAAACTAAATAACAAACTACTCAGTTCTACACACAACTATTCAGAAAACATAGAGTCAAAAGGGGAATTTATGAAACAAAGGATGCAGCCCTGCAATAGGTTATTTATTACTGTACAAATGAAAAGAGCATCTGTTTTATGTATAAATTGGCCCAGGAGAATAAAATAGCATGTTTGCACTCCAGTCTACTTGGAGATACTAAAACCCTTTTTCTATTTTTTAAAGAGTGCACACAAAACAGATACTAGAATTCCCTTCTAAACAGCACACTAGATCAGTAATTCTGCCCTTCTCCAAGTCAAAAATGGTATACTTCACAAATATAATAAAAACAAGTCCCTATGTCTATGATCTCAGATAGGTTTATATTCTTCACAACTGTACTTTTTCCAGAATTATGGGACTTTGTTGGTTGTCCCTACCACTGACTCCTAACATAGATGAGATGTGATCTCCTATAGCAGGATAATTAGCTTTCCTGACAGCATTATGATCTTCAGTTCATTCTGCTGCACAACTCTAGCAGAAACCTTTTGTGGCAATATTACAAATTGATTACAAATATTACAATATTACAAATTGATCTAACTGCTGCTCTGATATTTGATGCATAATCTTTTCTTTCTCTTCCCAAGTAACAAAATAAGGTGGACCAGGCTCTGCATGAGAACGAAGCCATCAATCACAGAGCAGTGAACATTAAGACAGTACTAATTACTTGGAAGGGAAACAGTTCTGCATTTCTTTTCAGTATTTCAAATCAGCATTACTAATTATTAACTAATACTAATGTTCAAAATAAAAGATTCTGCATATGGAAAAGAAAACCTTGCAAACCACATTAAATTTTGAAAATTTAATGGATTTTAAATTTTAATGGATTAAAATTTAGAAAGAATAAGAATTAGCTGTTAACATCCAACATAGCCATTTTTTAACTATGGGATATTATATGAATCCAGACTGTGTGCTTAATTTATACTTCTGTGTCATGAGCATTAAAAATGGTTTTATTTAAATCAGCCTTAAAAATAGCATTTCAAGTAAGCACCAGCAAGACATTGGTTTCTCTAAACAGAAAAGTTAAAACAGATGTAAAAAATTCAACAACTTACCCCAACAGATTTGGGCATTGCTGGTTTAAATACAGAGCAAAAGTCTGCTAATCTTTTTTCATAATATTTACAAATTATCAGCTCTTCATGTTGGTCAAGAAGAAATGAGTCTGTCTGTTGAACCTTATGAAAGAATAATATATATCTTAAATAGAAATCACAATTCACTAACACAGACTATAGCTATTAAGCAGAACCACTTAAGGCATAATCCTATACATGAGTCTTACTAACCTAGTATTGTTGACATGTGCAGGACTATCACTCCATTATCCCTAGGCAGCTAAAGGCATTCAGAGTTATAAATCTATATATTTGCAGAGAAGAACTTTGGGAAACCATATAACAGTTAAGGGAACCTCTCTGAGCTTGGTTATTTTCTTGCAAAGGTTTCATTATCAAACTAAGTAACATCAGAGCACCAATCAAATCAGCGCATCAATATTCTCTATCAGTAACACAGAATATAACCCTATAGTATCTATGGAGATTCTCAGTCATCCAGGTCATGGTTGTCCCAAAGACGCTTTTTCAGGAGGTCCATTTAGTGGTCAATGTAATCGTAAAACATTGCACAGATAAAACACGGTAGCTCACTCCTGCCAAGAGAAGTCTGATAAAACCTGTTTATAGGGGCATGACACACTATAACATTTGTTTCTCTTACTCTTAAGGGAAAACAGAATCTATATAACAGTGTTTTCCAAACTTGACAACATTTAAGATGTGTGGACTTCAGCTCCCAGAGTTCTCCGACTAGCATACCAAATTAGGGTTGGTGCATACCGGTTGCCCTCACTGAATACCCACCCATTCAAAGTCACAGTAGTGCTGAATGAGTGGTATTTATAACGGTTCCTCATAGTTACAGCCATTGCTGCATCCTCAGTGATGTGATCACAATTCCAGTGCTTAGCAACTGGCTCCCAATTAAAACACCATCATATCCCAGATATGTGATCTTCACCATCTGTTTCTTACCAGCAAAGACAATGGGGAAGCCGGCAGGATAGCAATCGCACGACAGTGGGATACAGCAACCATGCCTGCCAACTGCCTCCATAAGTCGGTGTACTCACGTGACACCACGCATTACGATCGTGTTGTGGAGTGACACGAGTTCCAGTCCCAATTAACATCGGTAAACAAGGGCTACCTGTACCATTCTGACAAACTCTAAAGAGGGCAATCCAAGTCAAATGCAACGGAAAACAAGATCGGGGGCTTCTCGGCTCTTTTGGGTCCCTCCGCTCCTACCTTCCCATTGGCCACCGCTTTGCATCTGAACTTGCGGTTGGCGTCAGAGCGCCTGCGGGACAATTCCTCCTCGCCGCGGAAAGTCCAGTAGCGCCTCTGCGTGCTGCTGTGGTACATCACAGCCGCCACCGCCGACGAGCCCGAGCTTCGCCCAACTGCTGTCTTTCAGACGAACCGCTTTCCTCTATCCCGGAAACGGCCAAACGCCCCGCCACGGGAATGGCCGCCTCCGGCTCCGCCCCCGCTGTCATCGCAGTCGCCACCGGGCCGTCCCGAGTTCCCGGCATGCCTTGCGCCAAAGGCGAGGTAGGATTTCCCAGCCTCGCCCTGAAATCTTAATTCGCGCGGCTTTCTCGCAAGGCCGCTCCAAGAGATAAGAAAAGTTAGAGTCGCTTTGTAAGCTCGCACTTCCGGAAAGCTGAACATGGCCTGTTCTTTCTGAGGGGCAACCTTCACGTTTAGTCAGAAAAAGGAAGCCTTAAATTTGAGCAACGGCAAAAAAAGATTTCACGGGCTCGCACTACATACTTAATACCAAATGAGTCGTTTCAACTTCCCGTGGCTGGCAGCTCTGAATTTTTTTTTTTTTAAAAAAAGAGAGATGCCGTCCAGTACACCTATAGAGATAACAAGTAAAGAGCTGTCGCACGCCGCGCGATTCAGGACTTGATATCCGAGCTACAGCTAGAAAAAGGCTGCTGGAAAGCTGGATCCTTCGCTTAGGGTTTTTTTTTTTTTTTCTTCCGCCCATCAGTTCTTCCCGGATTCCTTGTTGTCGGCTTGGCTCTCCTGGGAGTCTCAATTAGCAATTCGCATTTTGGAAACTTGAAGAAAAAGCACCGCGATTAGATCCAATTCAAGCCTTCCTGGTTGCGGGATTGTAGCCCAGCGAGGATATGCGCAGGCTGGGTCAGCGGAACGTGGACAATCCGCCTAGCTTTGGCCTCCGGCGATCCAGTAATGTAGGACCTCGGCATTCCGCCAGACATGGCTGGAATGGGAATCCCGTTAGACTGCAGACGTCCTTGCCCTGGAAGCCTCGGAAATGCCCGCCGGTACAGCAACAGCATGACAGTCCCTAGGCGCAACCTGCAGGGAATAAACCCATTCTCTCCGGGCTGGAAAAGTGCGCAGCTCTGAACATCGGTTTGCCAAAACCT